CGACCCCAGGCCTACCGAACATGTGTCCATGTGCATTTGCTCTTAAGTGGGTATTTTTCTCAGGTCCAGAAAGATGACTGAAATGTATTTAAAACAAATATCCCAACCCAAGATAATAGCAGACTCTACTTGGCTTATTGCAGGCTCTCAGGTGCCAGATCCCATGTCCTCAGGGGGTCCCTCTGGCGGAGGTAGTGGGGGGTGGGTTGTGGCGGGTAGAGTGGTATCATTGCACCCGTGGGTGGTCCTGGCCCAGGAGACCTGTCTTCAATCATTGTCAGGAAAGTCACATCCTGAATTTAACATGTGAAAGAAGGAAAGAAAGGAAGGAATGAAGAAGGAAGGGAGGGGAGGAGGGAGGGAAGAAGGGAGAAAGAAAACCCTAAAAACCCTACTGCTGTGGGCAGGGTTTTAGGTCCTGTCATCCGACTTGTTCCTGACCCGACTTCACGCAAGGTAGTTTGTTTTTAATCCTTTGATTAACAAGCAGGCTTTACCTGAGCAAATACACTAATCAGGGAGCTAATTTTATTGCCTCCCCGTGGCGATCTCCTCATGCCCTCTTCTGGCGGACAGCTCACTAAGCTCCCAGCTGACGCCCAGGCGACCCTCATAGGTGCACTCCCGCCCCAGCGTTGCTGTATGAACGGCGGCACTTGTGTGCTGGGTAGCTTCTGCGTGTGCTCCGCCCATTTCACCGGCCGCTACTGCGAGCACGACCTGAGGCACAGGTGGGTGCAGAGATGAGCGGGATGGCTGGACCGGAGTGGGGGCGTTCGTGTGGTGAGTAGCGGGGTGGGATGCACGCGCTGGCTGTACTAACGCGGGGTTTCGGCCTCTTAGTGAGTGCGGCACCCTGGTGCACGGATCCTGGACCGTCTGCGGCTGCCGGCTCTGCAGGTGCGTCTTCGGGACCCTACACTGCCTCCCTCGCCAGACATCCGGCCGCTGTGGTAAGAACACACGCATCCTGTGCTCACAGTCTACACATGCAAACAATTTCTCCTTCATATACACCAATCCATAGAGATCTACCTGTGCCAGGCGACACAGAAATGAGCATAGTGGGTCGATTCGTTATTCAGGAAAGTCACATATATTGTGATTCACATAGTATATTATCATTTTAAAATTTACAATGCAGTATTATTATATACTATAGTGGCCATCCTGTACATTGCATCCCCGTGAGTTATTTTTATAACTGGAAGCTTGTACCGTCAACCATTTCACCTCCCCTCCCACCCCGCCCCCACAACTTTGGCAACCACAAATCCGTTTTCTGCATTTATAAGTTCCCCATTTTTTTGGTTGCTGTTTAAGATTCTACATATGTGACATCATATGGCATTTGTCTTTCTCTGTCTGACTTATTTCACTTAGCATAATCCCTCAAGGTCCATCTATGCTGTTAGAAATGGTAAGATTTCCCATTT